AAATAGGGGATTATTCGGCAGGCAAAAAACTTAGCAAGGAGCTACGCTTCTCGGGGAGTATTCATTCACCCAGATCGCACGGTAATGCAGAGGGAACAGTCAAGGAGGAACGGGGACGGGTGTAAATGGGTTATATTCAGGGGGAGGGTAGTGGAAACGTGTGCCGACACAGGGCCAGGGGGCAGCGGCGCACCCTCCACCCGCTCTACCCCCCACCCGGGAGGCGGCACCAGCTCCGCCTACCAGACAGGAGAAGGCGAGCGCCGTGTAAACAATGCCATGTCTAACCACACCCTGCAAAATACAGTGTACTTAGCAAATGCTTCAGCTTCTGAGAATGGGGGGTGTTACTACTAAGAGCAGAGACGTTACCGAGACAAAATTCTGGCTTGAATGTCATGTACACTAATACTGACACGTTTCTTGATAAGAGAGAGGAGTTTGAAACACTACTTAAAGTACACCAACCAGATATTGTAGGAGTTGTAGAACTGTTGTACAAGAACAGGGGAATCGACCCAGAGGCATTGAACAGCTTCTTTTCCTTGGTGTTCACAAGAGAAGATGCGATATATATATATATATATATATATATATATATATATATATATATATATATATATATATATATATATATATATATATATATATATATATATATATATATATATATATGGCCTCCAGGACCCTGACGCAGGATGATATCACTCTACCAGTAGGATGTCAGGTTTCCTGAGGCTGGCCTTTTGTCATGACAAAACATAGTTACCGGATATATATATATATATATATATATATATATATATCCTTCGTCCGTTGTATCAGATTATCTAGCAAATTATTTTGCAGCTACTTTTTGTAGCGAGTGTACATTGTATACAGAGAATGTAAATAGTGGAGATGTACAATGTGCATAGATAGTAAAAGTATACAAATAATGTTCATATACAGTAGTAAAGTGGTAAGTCAGAGAGATTTTCACAAAGGGTAACACGACTACGCTGTGAATACCACTTCCCTAGGCTAGGCTAAGGACAGGCTTATAGACGTCGTGGCAGACCAATCGGTGAAAACAGCGCAACAAGTGGAGGCCTCAGCAGTGATGGAAGCCAACCAAACTCCGGGAACCATGAATCGTATCTTTGAATATAATGATTATTATAAAATGTTCCTTCAGCTTTTATCATACTCTCCATCTGGACTACTGGACAACTCACCATACTGGCTAGACACACAGCATGGCGGACCTCAGAGACTGAAAGACATTAACCGCTTTACTGTCTCACAGATGTCAAGCACTACAAACGCTAAAGGATAGTGTCAAGCTCTCTAAGTTTTCATGCAAGAGTTGGTAAATCTATGGAACTGTTTACGAGCAGCAGCAGCAGCACGTGTCAAAACAAGAACCGTATTGTTTTTTTCAGATTTTTTTTTGTTTAGCCCAGGTGGGATCCTACACAGGGCAACGACCTCCTTCCCCAACATAGTCATCTCTAGGTAGATAAGTAGGTGTGTGTCGCTGGGAACATTACGTGACGCTATGAACCCTCCCTGAAGATAGTTGGGCACTTTATGGTGGACCAGATGTATAAATGAGTGTTGATATACTGAACTGTATACTTCAAGTTGCCTGATGTAGTACACCGTGAGGGTATAACAGCCCAGGGTGTCGGTCACGTGGTCCTGGCGCGCGTCACATAACACACACACAGGACACGTTTATCTCCTCTTACAGTCCCTCACTCACTGTTGTACGTTGTCGCCGTTAATTTAACGGCGACAAATTTTTGTTAACGCTAACGCCATAATTTTTTGGGGCAGGTGACGCAGTCAACTTTTCACCCGAGCGGAGCGTCAAGCGTCAGTTTGTTCGTCAACTTCTAAAATTTTAGATTTTTCCAAGTTCGATTTTCAATTATCTTGTTATAAAGACGATCGTCAATTTATGAAATCGTTTACGCTGACGGCATCAAATTTCTCGGCCGTTTACGCTGACGCTGGCGGCGCCACTTTTTTTCGTTGACGCGTAAAACACTGAGTCACTGTAGTTGGGCTTTACCACATGACTCACATGATCTTTATTTTCATTTGACATTTCACCCTAAGAAAAACATCCGACATGTTTGATAGTGTCACACCAGATTAACACCCTTCTCAGATCTGTCTTGTTCGGGGAATTGAACCCCGGACACAACTGAGAGAGACACGCGAATTACTGTACTACTATTCTTCTTTATCAGAATTATAACTCAACAATTTGGTTTCACCATTATTGAGTCTCCAGTTTCTGACAAAGTTACTCCACGTGACTTAGAGGTGATCGTCTTAGTGGCTAAGTGGTGTAACCGACTAACTCGTGTCATGGAGTACAGGGCACTGTCCTCACAGCCCTGCTCCAGTACCCAGACAACGATATCTCAAACTACTAGTGCAGCTCTAGTACAGGGTTATGTAACTCTTACTCCGTTAGATATAGTTAGCCGAAGGTCATAATGAGATCACAACTTCATGTTTGAGCAAGTTGTCAGTACAGAAAACTGTCAAATTAAGTTATGAACTGTTGTAATAACCTGCCAGAAAATGTTCTAAGTTCTTTTAAGACAAGACTTAACCAACATTGCAACACATTCAGGTACAGTACATGTCCAGTACTTGCCAACGGTGTGTAACATAGCCCATATAAGTCCAGTAATTGCCAATTGTGTAACAGAGAATTGACCGACTTCCTAACTTGCTAGTGAGCCGATAAGTGGCGACGGGTGTTATTAAGCAAACAAGACAGTCAACAATCTCAGAGTCAATCACTTTTTTATGATAAGTATTACTATTGAATTATCATTGATGTAACAGAAAAAACGCAACAAGTCTCAACAAATGGTTGTAAGCTGCATTAGTGGCGAGTGGTTGGTTCGTTTGATTATTGTCCCATTGGTTGTCGAATCAGCCAATTAGGTAGCCTCGTGCTGCTTACTGGATACCTGTTGTATATGCGTATGGCAGCATGGGACCAGCCTAAGTGTTGTGTGGGTGGTAGTGTCGTGGATATTCTTCCCTTCAACTACTGATTGGTCACTTGCCGTCCCCTTACCAGCCAACCAGTGGCTAGTTCCACCACTTCCGAATGGACAGTCCAAAAGAGTAAGCAGAGCAAGAAGAGGAGGAAAAGAAAAAAAAGATCAACTTCAAGCTAAAAAGAATACCAAGATATTTTTTTGCCCAACCCGACACGCACCCGTAGCGGCTGAATGGTTCACACCCCCGCCCGTTATGTTTCACCTGTGGGATACAACCCTGCCGACAACAAGTTTCCTGCAGCACTCGGAGGGGAAGGAGAGTATTGTAGTGGATACTTTCCCCCACAACTGCTGATTGGTCACTTGCTGTCCGCTTACCAGCCAACCAGCGGCGAGTTTCACAAATCAGCCCTCGGGTTCGAATTGCGCGGTGATTGGTCAGTTGCCGCCTTCATCTTAGCCAATCAGCAACGTTTCTCATCTTCGCATTTCGACTCTTGATCCGGCAGAAAGATATAAATACCCCCCTGCCTCGCCGTGAGGGCGGGGCACTTGTGGTAGAAGCGGTACCGCTCTTGCCTCGCAAGCAAGGTGTCACGGGTTTGATTCCCGGGCAAGCGGAAGTTGTTTGGACACTCTTCCTAGCCCCCTTGGTCCCTGTTCACCTAGCAGTAAGTAGGTACCTGTTGTAAATCGAAAGGTTGCGAATTCGTATTCGGGGAAAGTTGTTGGAGCTTCTAAACTTGAACTGACACAATCCGGAGGAGTGGTGACCCGAGGATCACACACCCAACACAGACAAAACCAAATACGTGCGCTATGCGCTAACCAAATAAACGCAGTCGTGTAAAGCCACGGCACTATCTCTCCCACTACAATTCCCTTCCTAACCTCCTGCTCCTTCCTCTGTCATTTTCCCCGCTCTGCCTTTCGCTACCAACAACTTTGGAGCTTCTAAACTTGAACGTGAGGGCAGACAACACCAAGCTCTACTGTAAAGTAGAGAAGACCTCCTCTAAAGAAACTCCTCCACAGCAACCCCTCTACTATGCAGCAACTTCCCAGCACCTGAATGCTCTGTACATATAATAAAAATATAGAAAATTCCATTGTGAGTTTCCTTTCTCACCTCCATCCTTAGTGCAAGATGTCCTACATGTATGTGAGCCTAACAAAGAGAAAATAGACAAACACAAAGAGAAATTAGACTACTGGCCACAGACAATACGCTACAGTAGACGCAGACAACTATAGTACATAATGACTTTTTTTAATCATATTCGCCACTTTTCAGCTTACTAGCCATTTGGGCAGTTTATTCAGTGTTAGTACAGGAAGAAACCGGGGTATTGGGAAACCTTTGGTGTTTGGTAGGGGTCACCCTGGATAACACCCTTCTCACGTGTGTCCGGGCTGAGGCTCGAACCATTGACATACTGGTGAGAGTTATGCGTGTTACCGCTGTATCACCAACACACACGTCGTGGGAAGGAAGGAGGAAGAGTAAAGCGGAGAGAAGGGGAGGGACACATTTCTGACAATTGTAATACACGCATTCAGTGACATACACAGAGGCAATAAGGGTTGTCCTAACATTCAACACACAGGTCGTGAAAGTTGGGTTAAGTGAGCGCGAGTAACTGAGACCGAGTCCTATGTCAGAGTGTAGCTGTACCACTCTGCTGGGGCCTGTCAGCCTCACACTACTGGGGGTTAGGTGGGGTTTGTTGGAGAGTGCCAGCTAGGATTCAGTTGTTTCCATACACACACACACATCAAACACTCAAACTTTCAATGGTGGGGTCTGTCAACACTCGTGTGGATCAGATGTGAGGTTACACATATGTTGTTGTGTTATTGAACATCTTGTTTGCTACTGCCAATAGCCAGATTGACACGCAACTTTCCAACGGGGATTAAAAACAAAAACAGTTGATATTCATTAATTTTCTCCTCAATGTAACTATTCCTCTTCCTACAGGCGTTGTGCCTGACCCGGGGACAAAACCTTGCAAGGCGCCGTTATCACCAACAGGGCGCGCGTGGGTCGCCGCAAGAGTGAAGCTTACTCTGGACTGGTGGCAAGACTTGCAACAGCAGTAGCGGAGGAGAAATCTCACGATGGTGAACATTAACCAGTTGGTGTGGACGCTGCTGGTCACTACCCTAACACTCATCTCTTATGTAGGCATGTCAGGCAGGCAAAAGTGGTTCCTTGTATATAGATAATACGGGTATACAGTTAGGCATGTATATAGACAATACAGGTATACACTTTGGCATTTATTTAGACAATACAGGTATACAGTTTAGCAAGTATATAGACAATACAGGACATGATCTTTGCTGCCCGCCAGATACAGGAAAAGTGCAGAGAATAGCTCCGTGACCTGTACATGGCCTTCATTGACATAACCAAGGCCTTCGACTCAGTCAACAGGGAAGCACTCTGGTGGGCCCTAAGCCGTTTTGGCTGCTCACCAAAATTCATCGCCGTTGTGAGGCAACTCCATGATGGCATGAATAGCAGTTTCCTGCACAATGGCACCCAGTCTGAGTTCTTCCCCATACAAACGGGGGTAAAACAAGGATGTGTACTGGCACCAACTCTCTTTTCTATCTTCTTGGTTGCCTTCCTGACTCGTGCCAGTGCTAATTTTGCCGGTGGGGTGGGCATCGAGTTCTGGATGAAGAGTCTTTTCAATATAAAATGACTCCAGGCAGGAACAAAGGTGTCGGCAGTTTTCATTATTGAACTTCAATATGCAGACGACCTCACCCTTTTCGCTCACACTAACCGCAACCTACAGGAGATCCTGAACACCAACGCAGATGCGAATGCACACTTCGGCCTAGCAAGTGATCTCTGCACTAATGTCATCCTTGCAAGAAAGTTGGCATCCTCGTGCTGCCATCACCTCCATGCTCTGACGGCCTGCCGCCTCATTCCCCTGGATAAAAATCCAGGATGTCTGCCTATAGGGGTGGGGGAAGTGCTGAGGCGGATCATCGGAAAATGCATAATGGAGGTGGTAAAGGATGATGTCAGGGCAGCAGCAGGGAACCTGCAAGTTTGTGCTGGCCACCAGACTGGAGGGGAAGCTGCCATTCACGCCATGAGAACGATATTTGAGCAGCGTGATTGTGAGGCTGTTCTCCTGGTTGACGCTTCAAACGCATTCAACATACTTAACCACAAGGCTGCACTGCACAACATCAAGATTAAGTGTCCAAGCTTTGCAATGTATGTTGAAAACTCCTATAGGAATCCATCAGACCTCTATATAGTAAACAACAAGACTCTAAGAGGTGATACCATCATACAGTCAACCGAGGGAACAACGCAGGGGGACCCTGTTGCAATGGTAATGTACGCAATAGGCCTGTCCATGCTCCAACACACAATAAAATTTGAAACAACTGAGGTCAAACAAGTGGCATACGCTGATGACTTTACAGGGGCAGGAAAAGTGGAGGACATCAAAAAGTGGTGGGACCTGGTAGCATCGTGAGTCCCACAAATATTGTACCACCCAAACGCCAGCAAGTCCTTCCTCATTGTGAAGCCAGAACATTATGAGCGGGCAATGGAGGTGTTTGGCATGTCACCGTAACTTAGCTCTCGATGCTGCACACAGGAGGAACGAGAACGACAAGAGAAGGGCATATGGGGAGAGAATTCAGAACGTTGATCAAGGCAGCTTCACTCCTCTAGTGTTCACAACCTCTGGTGGGATGGGACCAAGTGCAAGATGTTTCTACGGCAGACTTTTGGAGTTGATCTCCGAACAGAAGCAGCAGCCCAGAAGTTATGTTACAGCCTGGATGAGATGTCGACTGTCTTTCTCTCTCCTTAGGTCGGCTTTGCTCTGCCTCAGGGGAACGAGAGCTTCTGCCCCAACTCCGACAACTGCTGCAGATATTGACTATGAGGCTACAGTCACTGAATGCCGCATAGATCTGCGGCTCAACTAATTTAACACAGATAGGATAGCTGGAGGCCACGTTTGTAGTAGTAATAGTAGTTTATAGACAACACAGGTATACAACTCAGCTTGTATGTAGACAATGCAGGTATACTGTACATCTCAACATATATGTAGACAATGTAGGTATACAACTCAGCATATATGTAGACAATGCAGGTATTCATCTCAGGATGTATTTAGACAGTGCAGGTACTGTATGCATTTCAGCGGCTTGTTAGGCAATTGGTCACGTATGTTACACACTGTTTCAGTTAAGTCACCTCTTGCCTGCCTATAATATAAGCTAACAACTGCAGGCATTCTAATCTCTCTGGGTAACTGAGGTGCTATAGTGCACCCTCCTTTGGACATTTTCTGTCAACTGACAGCTCTAGCACTTTTGTGGTTATAAAAATAAGACCACTAATATCTGTGATGTGTTTCAGTTGGCACAGATGAGGGTAATGAGATGCGCCAGCAAGTGAGGAGTGGAAACATACAAGGTGTGGCTGCTCTCTTAGATGCTGGCACACCTGTAGATGTAACTGATGACATCAGTGAGTAACACACCTTATGGTCTTGTTGTCTTCACTCATGTTCTCCATCACACACACACACAAAAGGTCAGATGGTAAAGGGTTAGAATTATGTTGCTGACATAATTTTCTAGAGTCTAGACCATATGAACGATTGTAAATATTAAACGTCAAAAATCTATTGATTTTTTGCAGGTGTCTTATATAACATGGTTTCTTCCAGAGAGAACTGGACTACACTGGGCAGCACGAGATGGCCATTTAAACATTGCCAAGCTACTGTTGACCCACGATGCTGACTTAACACTCACAGACAAAGATGGTGAGTATGTATGGTCATGTGTGTCCAAGATATTTTTAGATTGCCCCGGAGGGGGCTAGTTTATTGGGCACCCCCTTACATCCTGTGCAAGGTGAAGCGCAGAAGCGTTTACAGCGCCCAACTGGGAAGCATGCTAAGTTTTTGCTTGCCTTTATGACTCATGCATTAAGGGCGTAGAAGCCTGAAGGGTCATGGGTTTTGTCAGCAGGTTACATAAAGTGACAGAATGATGAGTGTGTGGGGGGAAGTTCCCGGTACAATTCATCTGTTTATGGCAAAGAGTGGCAGGTCCCTAATAATGTCAAATGCCGGGCCTGTGACTAGGAGGAGGGATATCTGGTCAGGGAGGGAAGAGGTGTTGGTAACGGCTGGGGACCTGTAGAAGGAGGTCATAGGACAAGTGAGGATATAGTGACGGAGGGTGTGGGAGTCGGGTTGGCCACAAAGTTTACAAACAGTGCGGCCAGGCTCAGGGTTACCAATGTACTCCCATAGGTACCTGTACCCTAGGCGCAGTCTCATGTACATAACCTGTTGAGATCGAGTCAGGGATTGATACTCTTTGTAGTGGTGGTTGTCGTCACCGGTTACAGCGTCATAGTGGCATAGTGTGACGCTACCCCGTTGTTTCAGGTGTGTCCAATTTTCGTAGAATGCTTCTCGTTGTGCGGCGTGTATGCGAGATTTGAGATGATTCAGGGAGAGGGAGGCTTCAATATCTTCTTTTTTGGCAATCCGATCAACAGTGTCACAGGCAGTTATTCCTATATGTGACGGGATCCAAATAAACTGAACGCCGGAACCGCCTTATAATCAGTGACAGCACTTCTGCGCTAGCGAGGCTCAAATTACCCTCCCCCTCCTCCCAACACACCCTAGCTGCCGTCGCCGGGCTAGAACAAACTGTCCAAGAGGCTATACTGCCAGATTCTTGGGTCACTAATTCTAAGGGGATAACTTAACTCTATTCTTACTTTTAAGGTCGCTGCCACTAGACCCCCTCTGGACAGTATGTAGCTCGTTTGGTAGCTGGCAGAGTAAGCTAGGCATTGGGTTGGTCATCATCAGGAGAACAACTGTTATGAGCAGATGGGATTAAAGAGTTTTTTTGGGATGACAATGATGTGCGCAGTACAAGGCAGTATTGATGCTTCCAATTATCTTTCAAATATTTTTTTTCTTGTGTCTCTGTCTCTGTGTTTATCAGTTGCCAGTGTTTATCCTTTCTTGATTCACATCTTATAACACTCCTTGACCTAACCCTCTGACCCATGTGTTATCCAAGGGCACCCCCAGTCCGCCCACTTGTAAATGGGTCCCAACTTTTAAGGTTGTTCATTACAATGTTGGTGACACATGCCTCCTCAAGTACCAAAGACTTTGTATAATGTGTGCTGGGTAATTATTCGGCAAGTGCTGGCATAAGGTTTAAGGTGGCGGCACTCTGGGCACTTACCTTTAAACATGTTGCCTGTTTTGCTGGCCATTGGCCTAAACGCCCAGCAAGCAGCAGGATTTCTGCTGTTGCTAGAAATGGATAATGGTTTGGCAGGGATCTTTGCTGGCCGGATTGGTGCTTAAATGAGCTTCATATAACTTCAGGTAAAAATTAAAATAAATCATGAAACAATAATAACTTAAAATATAACACATAAACAGTGATGTATTTCTATATATTTGTCACTTTAAGACTTTAGTATTATTAAATCATTATTCAAGGTCTTCTTTGACCAGCCAGACGGCGTCACTTTTAAAGGAACTTCACGATGCACCCAGTCTTTTCTTTAGCTTTTGTGGACACCTCACTTGTTACAGCAATAGAAGAACTATAACACAATCCTGCAAGGCAGCAACTGTAGTAATAAGAACATAAGAAAATAAGGAGTCTGCAATAGGCCGGTTGGCCTGCGCATGGCAGCTCCTGTCGAGAGTTACTACCACTCTCTATCATCCATGAATCTATATAGCCTCCTTTTAAAACTTTCCAGAGTTCCAGCACTTACTACAAAGTTGCTAAGCTTGTTCCACTCGTCCACCACCCTATTTGTGAACCAGTTTCTTCCTATCTCCCTCCTAAACCTAAACTTATCCAACTTGAATCCGTCGTTCCGAGTCCTATCCTGCTCGGATATTATAAGAACTTTATCTATATCCCCTTTATTGATTCCTTTCACCCACTTAAATATTTCTATCATATCTCCCAGCACTCTTCGTCTTTCTAGGGAATGCAAGTTTAGTTTCTTTAACCTATCCTGATATGGAAGGTTTCTAAGTCCCTGAATCATTTTTGTCATTCTTCGCTGCACCGACTCTAGTGAATTTATATCCATTCTATAATAGGGGCACCAGAACTGAACCGCATAATCGAGGTGCGGCCTAACTAGCGCAAGATATAGTTGCAATAAGACCTCTGCACTCTTGTTACTTACACTTCTAGATATAAAACCCAATACTCTGTTTGCCTTATTTCGAACATTAACGCACTGTTTTCTAGGCCGTAGGTCCGGGCTTACAAGTACCCCTAGGTCTCTTTCACAAGTCGACTTCTCTAGGTTGATGTTGTTAAGGCTGTATACATTATCAGTATTTGTTCTTCCAATATTAAGTACGCTGCACTTGCTGGTGTTGAATTTCATTTGCCATTTTTCAGACCACCCCTGCAGTTTATTTAAATCCTCCTGTAATGCATTTGCATCCTGCCCTGAATTAATCTGCCGCCCTATTTTGGTGTCATCCGCAAACTTGCTTATGTCACTGCTGATCCCAGTATCTAGATTGTTTATGTAGATTATGAACAAGAGTGGGCCCAGTACTGACCCCTGGGGAACCCCACTGGTTACACTGCCCCGCTCAGATTTAACACCATCTACGCTGACCCTCTGCGTTCTATCGGTGAGCCATGATTTTATCCAATTTAAAACTTTCCCCTCGATACCATGAGCCTTAATTTTTCTCAGAAGCCTCTGATGCGGTACTCTGTCAAATGCTTTGCTAAAGTCTAAGTAAATAACATCGTAATTTTCGTCATTATCTACTACCTCGAAGACTTTCCTAAAAAACGTCAGCAGATTTGTTAGACAAGATTTTCCCATTGTAAACCCATGTTGAGAGCCGTAGATTAATTTGCTTTTCTCTAGATGCGATCCTTGTCTAGAAGGTTTGTTGTTTTTTTCATTGCATTGGACAGACTCGCCAACAAAACATCCCAGTGTAACCCCAAAGGCATCTTGCTTTGTTGGCTGGACCTGGACCATGTTTGGAGGAAAGTGCCCAGTGTGCCGCTGCTGCTTTTAAAAGTCTCTTATGTCGGTGTTTGTAGAATATTAGCCGTGCACTGTATTCACATTATCTTTTATGGGGCTGTCATGCCAGTTTATACCCACTTTGTCTACTCACATTATGACTACAGTACTCTGAAAATGTAAACATATTTCCAGAGTGTCTAATGATGACCTAACCTATCGGGAATAGAAGGACTGGGATGTTACCGCCATGCATATGGAACCCACTTTCTTTTTGTTCACACACAGTACAGTAAGTCTTTTTCCCCTACAGGCAGAATACCACTCGACCTGGCGACTTGGCAAAATTACCAGGACATCATAACACTGTATGAAGAAAACTCATTAAAAAATAATTACATTGGAGGTGAGTTGTGATGGTGTTCTCTCTGTTGAAGGTGAGGAAAAAAAGGTTATACTTGATCAGCAGAGAGAAGACTCTGTGAAATAAAGTGAAGTAAAGTAAATTAATCTCAAGATGCGTATGAATAAATCTGACTGCCAATCACTTCTCGACTGGTATTTGGTGTCACGAACTCACAAAAAATTGGTAAACTTAATTTAATCTGAGTTAATAGATCGAGTGCATGTACCTAACCTAACACAACTCAGATTAAATTAAGTTTATCAATTTTATGTGACTTTATGACACCAAATAATAATTGAGAAGTGATTCACAGCCCGATTTACACTTGTACGACCATCATTTGACTTCATTGCGGCTACATTTGGGTAATTACTCGCTCCCTTGGTACATGCATGCGATCTACTAACTCAGATTAAAGTAAGTTTTCCAATTTTTTGTGACTTTGTGACACCAAATACTAGTCGAGAAGTGATTAGCAGTCCGATTTATTCATGTAGGACCATTATTTGACTTCATTGCGGCTACATTTTGCTACATTTGGGTAATTAGTCAGACCGTGCAGAATCATCTTGGGAAAATTAGCCCACCAGCTTATTTTACCTAATGATTAAACACCTTAATGCTAAATGGGTGGTTAGGGAAGGCTAGCTAAGTTAAGTTTGGATATGTCAGGTTAGGTTAGTTTATGTTAGATTATGTCATGTTAGATTAAGCTAGATTAGGTATGGTTAGGTTAAATTAGTATTAGGCAGAGTTGTAAAGTAATTAAGTAAATTTACTTAAGTACTGTACTCAGGTAGCATTTTTGGGTATTTACTTTTTAAAAAGTACAGGTACTCAATTTTCAGTACCCAGTATGTTATTCTAATATTTTAACTCCAATAAAATTGAAAAAAAATCGTTACTCTATACGTGTCCCAAATAATAGTTTTAAATATCAAATCACAGGACAAGCTTGGACGCTAACCAACCACAAGCATTTCTTCGCATGTACTGCTTGCAAGCATCTGTTTAGTCATGCTGGGCTTATATTTAGGCCTAAAAGATCCTGATTAGACAGCATAACTTTGAGAATCAGTTATTGATTAATCTCGTGGAAAGATTTGCAAATAGACGTGTGTAATGTTATGTGTCTGTTATTTTTATATTAAGTTAACTAGTTTTATTTTGTTTTATTTACTGTGGATTTATTTTAATATTTGAGACTATTAATAATTTCATTGTTTCTTTTAACTTGTAGTATTTAAGTACTTTATGCATGAGATACATTTTTACTTCTACCTACGTAACATTTTGCCACTATAACAAAGTCCGGTACACAATACAACTGTTAGGTCAGGTTTGGTTAGGCTATTTATTACTTTTACCTTTTACTTTTATCCTCTTCGCCACTGATCGGCTTGTTAGCCGCTTGGGCGTCGGTCACGACTCTTTTCCTTTATATTCTTCACCAAAAGGTCGGCTCGCTAGCCGCCCGGGCGTCAGTCACGTCTCTGTCACGCACTGTTGGCAAATACTGGGCATGCACCGGCTCCTGAATGTACCTGAACCCGTTACTTTTACTTTTTACTTTTATCCTCTTCGCCACTGATCGGCTTGTTAGCCGCTTGGGCGATCGGTCACGACTCTTTTCCTTTATATTCTTCACCAAAAGGTCGGCTCGCTAGCCGCCCGGGCGATCGGTCACGTCTCTGTCACGCACTGTTGGCAAATACTGGGCATGCACCGGCTCCTGAATGTACCTGAACCCGCTCCAGTGTTGGTCAAGTCTTCTCTTGAAAGAGCTCACACTCGGTGCCGTCACAACACTTTCTGGTAGATTGTTCCAAGAGTTTACAACCCTCACTCCGAAAAAGTTTGTCCTCACGGTTTTCCGGACTTGCGGCTTCTTCAATCTTGAGCTGTGACCCCTTGTGGGGCGAGCGTCCGCCAGCTCCAAGTAAGGACACTCAACTGAGTAGTGCCCCCTGAGATGCTTATAAACCTCAACTAGGTCCCCCCTTGCCCGTCTGTAGTATAAGCTAGGCAAGTTCAGGCGCTCCAATCTCGCAGGGTAGCTGAGATGCCGAAGTGCAGGCACCAGCTTGGTGGCCCTCCTTTGAACATTTTCAACCAACTGACAGTCCCTAGCATATCTTGGGGACCAGATGGGGTGACAGTACTCCAGATGGGGAAGCACTTCACTCCTGAAGATCGTCACGAGGGACGGACCGTCTAGATATCTGAACGACCTTCTTATAAGACCCAATAATTTATTTGCCTGATTTACCTTCTTCTCACAATGGCCCGAGAACTTCAGCTCATTGTCAACATACACACCTAGGTCCTTCTCACACACAGTCTCAACTAGTACATTTTCTTCATCCCGTTGGGACATATGGTACGCCTCCTTACCGTTGGTACGCCCCAGGTGCATCCTCTTACACTTCGTGACATTGAATCTCAGCAGCCATTCCTTCGACCATTCCTGGAGCCTACAGAGGTCCTTCTGCAGCTCTTCACAGTCCGCTTGGTTCTTAATTTTCGAAATAACTTGGCGTCATCGGCAAACATTAGGGTGTACTGTACTGTATAATCAGGTAAAATAAGCAGGGGTTCCTAATCTGCATGAGGTCCCTGAAGAATATATACTTTATATATTTTTTAAGTAATTCTCTTACATAATCCAAGCTATTAACTTAGTGGCAGCGACAGTCTATTAACCCCTTGTGTACGGGATCGCCGCTGGCCTGAATAAAATCGTCTGACATTAGCCAAAATATAATAAGTGGTGTCTCCCTAGTGAAGGAGTTATGAAAGGTTAATTTGTATATTATGTTTCAGGATGTACCTTCAGTAGCCAAGTGTACAAGGACCAGGAGAAATGGACCACACATTGTCACCAACACTCCTGCAACTTTGGCAATGTCAATAGCACTATTACGGACACATGTTAGTATTGTGCTGTACTATACTGTCTTTCCTCATATTGTCTCTATCGTACAGTACTTGTACAGTTATGGGTATAATTCCCTGTACAGTTTTGTCTGGCATCACCTGCTTGTGGGACGTCTGTTCACCATGTAGTATTCACCGGTTATAAGCTATACTGTACTCACATAAACCCACAAATAGATGATATTAGACCATATCAGGTACACTATGCTGTGCCATATAGGCCATGCAGCATAGAAAAAATTCTTATAATTTTTAATTTTAAAGGGTGAAGGAATCACGATATATAAAAAAAATTGGACGACGAGGACCAGTCAAATGGCCACCTGGCTCTCTGGGCCTCACATTTCTCTATTTCTTCCTCTGGGGTCACCTAAAACCTGGCCAACGACCACTTAAATGACCCCCAGAGAAGGAAGGAAGGCTCAAGGGACTTAATTAGCCATATGATCAGGCCTCATCGCTGCCCAGTTTTCAGTAATTTATCACGACTCCTCACCTGAAGAAAAAAAGAGAAGAAATACTATCATTACTCCTATGGTGTACGACATGTGACACACCCTGTATTGTACAACACATAGAGCATCGTGCAGGTATACAAATAGGTCAGTGATACGTGTTATTAGTGGTCCCTCGGTTAACGAACGGTTTGGTTAACAAAATTTCGGTTAACGAATTACCTTCCATAAGAATCTTCAATTCGGTTAACAAACAAAAATTTTATTAACGAAATCCTTACAAACATCACATTTTGTTGTGAGCATCAGCTGATGGGCTAGTCTGCCAATTCAGTAATCTGTTCTATGTTTACATTCGTTTCCGTGGAGAAAATATCAAGAAAGTTGTTCTCTTTGATATTTTTGCATTTTTTATTTTAAAATTATTAGCTATTTTAACATTTATTCAACATATTGATAATATATGCAGTACAGGGAACTAGTTTTTTGTGCGCCCATCAGACGCTTGACTCAGCCACAAGGCGTTAGTTGGCTTTGTTGACAGTGGAGTGAACATCTATTTTGTTGGCGTCTTGAATATTTTTGCATATATCATTGAAATTATTGGTCATTCTGAAATTTAGTCAACATATTGATAATATATAGCGCAGTGCAGTGTTGATTTAAATAAAATAATCTTGAATTACACCTAGTGAACTTAAAATTTTATTGGTGAAATGACAGCATCAAGCATGGGTCCCCTGAAAGGTGATTTCTCCTCCATCCCCACTTCCTTCTCTTCTTCCTTCTCCTCCACCCCACTTCTGATTCCCATCTCAACCAGGAACCTTCTACATACACACCTCAAAGTAAGTGTACTTTACTGCATTCTTTTTTTACTTTGAATGTACTTTTCGGTGAGCTGGAACCAATTTATAAGAAATTAAAGGGAGTGGACGAGCAGCTCAGAAATAGATATAATGAACTATCTAGGAATGTTAAGAAGAATGTAAGGAAGGGAAAGAGGGACTACGAAATCAGGATAGCAAGAGAATCCAAGGCGAATCTCAAGGGATTTTTCCAGGTATATAGGACAAAGGTCAAGGACAAAGTTAGGCCTTTAAAGTCAGGGAGAAGTGATAAATGGCAGTGAAGAAATAAGCAAAGCATTGAACAGCTACTTATCAGTTTTCAAAGAAGAAATTCACGAGGAAATTCCAGAGGTGGAACTGATATTTAGGGGAAATGAAGAAGAGAAATTAAAGAATATCACTATCAGAAAAGAGGATGTTCTAAAAGAAGATAAATAAATTAAAGAAGGCAAAATCCCAGGGCCGGATGAAATTTTCCCTCGAGTTTTGAAAGAGTGTAAGGAACAGATTAGCGGACCCCTCATCAATTTATTTACAAAATCATTAGACATGGGAGTTGTGCAAGACTTGTGGAAACAGGCAAATGTAGTACCCATATTCAAAAAGGGAGACAGAGCATCAGCGTCAAATTACTGGCTGATTAGTTTGACGTCAGTAGTGGGGAAATTTCTTGAATCAATTATAGCAAATAGCATCCGATCGCATTTAGAGAAAAGCAAATTAATCTACGACTCTCAACATGGGTTTACAAAGGGAAAATCTTGTCTAACAAATCTGCTGACGTTTTTTAGGAAAGTCTTCGAGGTAGTAGATAATGACGAAAATTACGATGTTATTTACTTAGACTTTAGCAAAGCGTATGACAGAGTACTGCATCAGAGGCTTCTGAGAAAAGTTAAGGCTCATGGTATCGAGGGGGAAGTTTTGAATTGGATAAAATCATGGCTCACCGATAGAACACAGAGGGTCACCGTAGATGGTGTTAAATCTGAGTGGGGTTGTGTAACCAGTGGGGTTTCCCAGGGGTCAGTACTGGGCCCACTCTTGTTCATAATCTACATAAACGATCTAGATACTGGGATCAGCAGTGACATAAGCAAGTTTACGGATGACACCAAAATAGGGCGGCAGATTAATTCAGGGCAGGATGCAAATGCACTACAGGAGGATTTAAATAAACTGCAGGAGTGGTCAGAAAAATGGCAAATAAAATTCAACACCAGCAAGTGCAGCGTACTGAATATTGGAAGAACAAATACTGTCAATGTATACAGCCCTAACAACATCAACCTAGAGAAGTCGACTTGTGAAAGAGAGTTAGGGGTACTTGTAAGCCCGGACCTACGGCCTAGAAAACAGTGCGTTAATGTCCGAAATATGGCAAACAGAGCATTAGGTTTTATATCTAGAAGTGTAAGTAATAAGAGTGCAGAGGTCTTATTGCAACTAAATCTTGCGCTAGTCAGGCCGCACCTCGATTATGTGGTTTAGTTCTGGTGCCCTTATTATAGAATGGATATCAATTCACTGGAGTCGGTGCAGCGAAGAATGACGAAAATGATTCCGGGACTTAGAAACCTTCCATATCAAGATAGGTTAAAGAAACTAAACTTGCATTCCCTAGAAAGGCGAAGAGTGCGGGGAGATATGATAGAAGTATTTAAGTGGGTGAAAGGAATCAATAAAGGCCATATAGACAAAGTTCTTATAATATCCGAGCAGGATAGGACTTGTAGCAACGGATTTAAGTTGGATAAGTTTAGGTTTAGGAGGGATAGAGGAAAGAACTGGTTCACAAAAGGGTGATGGACGAGTGGAACAAGCTTAGCAACTTTGTAGTAAGTGCGGGAACTCTGGAAAGTATTAAAAGGAGGCTAGATAGATTCATGGATGATAGAGAGTAGTAGTAACTCTTGACAGGAGCTGCCATGCACAGGCCAATTTTCTTATGTTGTTATCCCATTGAAACAATGGATTCGGTTAACGAACGACCCTCTGGAACAAATTGTGTTCGTTAACCGAGGGACCACTGTACTGTACACTGTGTAGTACTGTATTTCTAATTAAAGTACAGTATTTGGTATTATTGGTTTTACTCCCTGTGAGAGGTTTGAATAATAGACCAGGTTCTTTGGAGACTTTACTCTTGCAGCGTCAGACAGTGACTGGCAACCCAGCGCTGCCACAGACAAACTCCCGCCTCCACACATGGGAAAACATATCGTACGATGATACTCCATCTCTCAATCTCACACTCCCAATTGGAATTTGAGAAGTTTTGGGCTCACCAGAAGTTATATCATGTCAATTGCAACTTCTGTCGCAAATGGATAATAACAGACAATAAAATCATGTAAATCTGCAGTCACTGTGTTGTCTGTTTGTTTACAACTGAGCCGTTCAATCTGAGCGTAGTCTCGTGTCCACAAATAAACATAGAATAATACCATGATGTTTCAACAAAGTTGCCTTCATTGGTACCAGATATCAAAATATATACTTTCTGTTTAATATGGCAGATTGTTGGATCCCTCCTAGGAAGTTTGGTAAGGTTGGGTAGGTTACTTTGGTTGGGGTGATAACTAAAAAACGACTCATTTTTTATGGAAATTAAGGTCAAATTCAATTGAATCGGACCAAAAACCACGGGAAAAAATATAGATTTCTGGCCTAAAACCAATTAGTAGTGAAAGTGAGATTTTACTCAATATTTAACATTGGAGAACTTACTGTCACTGAGTGGAGCAGCATATTTAGTTTCTTTCTTTAGTAATTATTTACTGACTTATATATTTTATGAACATACTTATTTCTTATGAACTTATTTAATTACTTTCTTTGGTCTTACTTCAGTAGTCCTCTTTGTTATCAGTCAAGGAAGAATATTTCATCACAGGGGTTTTCATTTTAGTCTGCTGTACTGTATGTGATTTTTTAAAGTCTCAGTAATTGAAAAAGATTCATGATTAAAAAAATGATTCACTATTATTTCGTTACACAGTGAATGTTTGTTATATTGAGGGTACGTTATATGTGAAACCTCCATCTAATGAATTATATAGAGTATGAAAGTCCATTATATGGAGTTTTCACTCTGCATAAATTGTTGTGAAAAACATGTATGACTGTCTTTATGCCTTGGCAGGTTGTTCAGTGGGAGAAGACACATACGATAATGGTGAGGAGTGGGAACAAGGATGTCATGGATACCTCTGCCACTCTGGTTCTGCTGAAGCTCTTAATGTATTGTCTGTTTGTAAGTCTTAACCTAAACATACTGCACATTATTTCAAGATAATTTTTATTTCATTATCACCACTTGTCAGCTTATGGGGGTGTTGGTAGTGTGAGTGTATATGCCTTTTATCCTATGTCCTGGGGTTAAATGAAGGTTTTTATAAATGCCCAGGACAGACGTAAGAAGGGCAATTACCAATTGTGGCAAGTCTCATTCCTATAATAACAATGGATAATAAAAGTTGTAACAACACATAGTACTGTACTGTATACAAACCAACCGCTTAAATGGCTAGTAAACTGACAGGTGGTGAAGTGATAAATAGAAAGTGATGAATTAACTACAGTATAAATATTTTTTACACACCAGATTCAAGAGATACTCAGCACAAAGTAATGATATAAAAGTTATTGTCTTATATATGACTGTTATAATGATAAGGCTTACAGTAATACCTACCCCTGCCAGGTTGTGAGGTGATGGGTGATGTGTACCCGCCGGGAAACACCTGGAGTAAAGGCTGCCATGACTACACTTGCAACTCTGGATCTGTGACAACTTCTGTGGTGGACACATGTTAGTTAAACTAACCCTTACAAAGTTTATTTATAAAAAAATAAATAAATATAATACTGTGTATGTTTTTTGACTGTGGATATGTGATAACATCAAACTTGGTAAAGTACAATACAGTAATGTAGTTAATTGTAGGTGGACCAGTTTAAACCTTGACAGGCATCATTGTTACCACTCAGGTGTTTGTGAGATCATAAAGTAACTTACTGTACAATAAACTATATGTCAGGGGTCATCCTTGAACTGTAATGAAATAAGACTGTTGTGTTAAGGCAGTCATCTTAACAGGTTGTCAGGTGCTTGGGGAGGTGTACCCTGATGGACACGGCTGGACTCAGGGGTGCCACAACTACACCTGTGTGTCTGGTTCACCAGAGACTTCTGCTGTGCTAGACATATGTAAGTGCACTACAGTGTATGTGTGTGTGTGTGAGGCATGATATACTGTAGATAGTAAGTTATACACTAATTAATACCAGATTGACAAATTAATAAAGAACAAATCTTATTCATAACGGTCATGCGAGTTAATTGTGTAAAGACTCGATTTTAACAACTGCATAAAGGTTTTTCCTCTTTACTGCCTTACAGATTTTTGTGATCACATGAATGTTTGCATTACTGCAACAACATTGTCCTTACTTGTTGATGTGTTGAAGACACCCACATTTTTGCCCGGGGCCCAAACACATTTTTCTGAGACATCCTGTACTGTATTTCAAGGCAAATGTTTGAAAATAAAGATGGAAGCTTGGCTGGCTCTGTTACCAGCAAGTCTTGACAACACTATTAAATGTATATATCAGTACAGTATTAATCTGATCAAATTCTTCAGGTTGTGAAGTAGCTGATAATGTATACCCGGATGGACACACGTGGTCACAGGGTTGTCATAACTACACCTGCATCTCTGGCACACCTGAGGCAGTTTCTGTGGTGGAAACCTGTGAGTAGATTCTCCTTAATTATATTATGCCAGATATAATTATAATCGATAACCAGATGATTATATCCCAAAGTTTTTAATGTAAATAAACAAAAACAAAATTATATACTAATCAGATGGGAGAGCACTGTACTCTTTAAGGATGTTACTCCTTAAAGGGAGATTGTTATACTTTACAATAAACTTTTTATACCAGGTTGTGAAGTGTTTGGTGAGGTTTATCCTGACAGACTCAACTGGACTCTGGGCTGTAGCAACTACACTTGTATATCTGGTTCACTCAAATTTCTTGCTACACTGGAAACATGTACAGTATTTATTATTAATTTTATCGTGTATACTGTTAGTCTTGTGGTCCCATAGTCGCTTCATATTTTATTACTGCATGGTTTCTGAGAACTTGTACCAGTTGTCCTGTGCATTACTCTAATGTTGCTTAAAAGAGGCACTTGTGTTTGTGCTTTGCCATTTTTACCTAGTCTGTTTTGTGTTTCCTAATGTGGTACTTTAACCTGTTCATATCCTCTTTGCCATTGATTGGATTGTTAGCTGCTTAGGCAGTCGTTCATGTTGGCAAGTACTGTATTGTTTCCCTACTTCTACATGTTGTCCATCCTTGCATGTAAGAACAGTACAGTATCTGTATTTTGGTCCAGTCAGGGAAAGGTGTCTGTATACCCAGTCAAGATATGTATTATGCATGAATCCATATCCATATAAGACAGCAATGGATGATTTGAAGTGTGATACATGAGACATTAGTCAAATCCCCTCTCCCTCTCATCTTTACTACAGTGACATCTTGACTTGGGATATCACAGGGACTATAGAAACACCTTTCCCTGACTATACCTTTATGTAGACATTTATTGTTTTAGATCCAGGTAGTGTAGTGTACAGCAGTAAGGTCTCTGTCATGCATGGAAATAATCACATGAGAGGAGGCAGAAGTAGCAGATTTATTTTTTATTGAGCCCATACTTAATTCATCTTTCAAGGGGTCTTGTCCCACTAAAAACATTTTTTTTTTATAATAAGAACACCCATAATGGAGATATACTCAGTAAAATACCAGTTATAAAATTATAGCACTTTTATGACTATTTCTCCTCTCACTTTTAGTGTACAGTACAGTGTGTTGACTGCAAGTCCCTGTACATGTGCAGTAATTAACACTATTGTTGTACCTTGGTATACCGACAGTATTTACCTTCTTCTATTTGCAGTAAATATTTGTAATGGTATCCACTTCCAATATTAACTGCAAGTCAAATAGAGTGTAAATACCTAACTGCCCAGTACAGTACTGTACATTGTAAATTATTACAGGTGCACAGGGACTTCTCATCACTGGTACATGTATACAGTGCACAAGAAATAAGTTAGTTCCTAAGGAAAAGAAGTAGACTGATAGGTGGTGGCACCCATCTCCTGAGGAATACACAGTAACAAATAAACCCTATCTAACCTAACCTAACATAACTTATCTTCACTTATAGGTTGTGAACAGTTTGGTGAGTTTTCCCCAGACGGTCACACATGGAGCAAAGATTGTAAAAACTATACGTGTAACTCTGGCATCCTGGTGACCATCGGCGTTGTGGACACGTGTAAGACCTTTAACCTGACTTTTACTTTGTCACATTGACTACGGTAATGGGTGATTCAATCTGCTCTGATGGGAATGTTATTTTTTACTTACATTATCTTGAAGGACTATATATATATATATAGTATATCGAAACCTCTATTTAACGTACTATATTGAGAGAAAAGTCCATTACATTGAGGGTCTGCTAATTGTGAAATTTCCATCTAATGAACTATGTAGAGATGAAAGTTCGTTATATGGAGAGAAGTCCGTTAGTATATGGAGGTTTCACTGTAAATTATAAAATGATCGAAATTGAAACCATCCTTTTATCCATTTGTCTATGTACCTATATAACTAATTCAGCTAATACAGTATATAGTTAAAAGATGATGGGGGTGTTTATTATCTAATGTTCACAAAACTATGACTTAATAAATGTGGTTTAAGAATATAATGTCATCACCAATAATACATTAATTAGACTAGTAAAATGATGTCAGTTGTCTGTTTCCCTCAAAATTCCTGAATACAAGTAAAGCCCCAGAAGAAAGGTCACTGTGTGTGTGGAACTGACAGTCAAACAGAGTAATCATTAAAATTTAGTGATGTTTTGGTGTACTGACATGATTAAATTTGTCAACAGGTTGTCAAGTGGTGGATGAGGTCTACCCTGAAGGAGATTCATGGGTACAGGAGTGCTACAACTACACCTGTAATTATGGCACACCAGAGATTGTTGAGGTTATAGACACATGTGAGTGACTCTCTCTTCAGAGCACTTGTTTTAATTTATCATTTCACCATTTACCAGCTTCCCAGCTATTCGGGCAGCTGTTCTGCTCTTCTGTTACTTTGTTTAGACCTTCATTGTCAAGTGTTAGTACATTAAGGACACCAACGTATCTGGAGAAAACCTTAAAAAATTGGGCTGGGTCACATTGGATAACAAACACCCTTCTCATGCCTGACCCCTGCCAGGGATTGATCCTAGGCGTAACAGTGAGAGGCCCGCTGTAATGCCAACAGTGAAAGTAAGTAAATGAATTTATTAATCGGCTGGTAACTGTTAACTCTATCTTAACAGAATAACCAAGGAAGATCCTATATGAGGTATAACAGTAATTGTACCTTGATGCAGACTTACTCTCTCATAGTCATCCTTCCAACTCATAAAAAAATGATTTCAGTGAGGAAAATACAAAATATGTTAGTTAAGTGTATAAAGCTAAACACATACATGTACAGTTGCCTCCACACGAGCTTACCACAGCCTGGGACTGTGTGAGGGCTCGGGTAGAGAGTTGTGGCAATGCAGCGCCATTGTCAGGGCTAACTGTATGGGTGTGAAACAGTGAAATTACCTTGTTTGCAATAAGATACAAACAATAAAGGATATAAATAGATAAACAAACCCTCTAATATGTGTTATGTAGCATTGCTGTGTAGCCACAGTTGAGTGACTAGGACTGAACTATAGGGAACCGACAAACAGTGTAATCCATGATTTTCATGACCATTACTAGAAGCACTTGCATTGCCAGATCTTGTAAATGTGCTCCCACACACACACACACCTATGCTGTGGTACATTCACGTGGAGACAACTGTACATGCTGAATCAACGTAAACTTGTAACGATGATTTTACCGAATATCTGTCGATCTATCATGATTTTCAGATGCTAAAAAATATTCTTGTTAAATGTAGTCTTGCAGATGTTACAATACTCAAGACTGGACTATATTTTAACAACAATTTAATGGAGTATTATTTTGACAGGTTGTGAGGTGGGTGGGGAGGTCTACGATGACTCACAGACTTGGACTCAAGGCTGCCACAACTACACTTGTAACTCTGGGTCACCGGAGACCCTCTCTGTACTGAAGACCTGTGAGTATTGTGTTGTGTTCATATACTGTATACACACCTGCTTCAATACATGCACTCAACAGCCTTGATGAACATGTACAATGTAACACCAGATGGGCAATGATCACTGGCTCCTACAGGCTTAATGACCAAATATGCAAACTAATGTATGACACACCACAAATCGTATTCTGAATATTGAACCTCCAACTGGACTGCCTATTAAGGGACAAGTGGTGGATGAGGGGTAAAGTTGTAAGACACACTTGCAATTTTGGTAAAGGGACAAATGATTACAACACCTGCAATATTTTGTACTTAAGTTATATAATAATGTACTGTACTGTATATGTAATCAAGTTACTGTACTTATGACTATAGGCCTGCACACTGTGTATATAATTACTGTATCATATCACAGCTGCAGTCATATTACTTCCACCTACCAAGACAAGGAAATATATTGGTACAGTATAACCAAGAAAATATGTAACATTACTACAACTGTACACAAGAAGTCCAGTGTATTGTAGGTGCATCCATCACAAAAAGAAAATTGACCTTGATATTAAAAGATCTGTCGAGTCTTTGTTGTTATATGCTTAAACACTGCTATGACATTTATTTTTATTCAAATCATTGGATCACATGAAGATTCACCCTCCACCCATGGCTCATTTCACCTTAAGATTAGCCACCCTAATGCTACATGGAGTAAGGTTAGGTTAATCTTCAGGTAAATTAGGCTTGAGGGTTGGGTTAGGGTAGCTTTAAGTTAGATTAAGTTAACCAGGGGTCAAATTTTAGGGGCTAGGTTAGCATTTAGTTGGTTAATCTTCTGGTGTAATAAGCTGGGGATAAAATCTGAGGTGAAATAAGCTGGAGATAAAATCTGAGGTGAAATAAGCTGGTGATCAAATCTGAGGTGAAATAAACTTGGGGAATAGGTTAGCATTAGGTTGATTAATCTTCAGGTGAAATAAGCTTAAGGGTTAGGTTAGTATTAGGCTGGTTAATCTTCAGGTGAAATAAGCTTAGGGAGGTCAAATCTTCAGGTGATCCAAATCATTATCATCAATACCTGAACATGAATCAGAAAATTTAAATGTGGAGTTTTCATCAGGTTGTGAGGTGGAGGGAGAGGTGTACCCTGATGGCAGCGAATGGACTCAAGGTTGCCACAACTACAGCTGCAGCTATGGTTCACTGGAGACTCTCTCTACCCTGGAGACGTGTGAGTATTGTGTGTGTCATTCTCATGACAGAAGTGTACTGTGCAGGTTGTCTCAAATGTATACCACCAAGATCACATGGAAGTAAAAATATCATAATGAAGAGGGCCTCAGAAAAATACATACAACACTGCCTTATACATTTTCATTGAGAATGTATTAGCTACAACATTGTCCTCCTCACATATCAGTGAGTATAATATTGCTATTGTATAATGTACCCCCTTCTTCTGTACAAAAATTTATGCAATCTCCATGAAAATCTGTTAGGCAGTGTGCATATATTTTTCTGAGACACAGTTTATGTCAGGTATTTTGACATACAGTATACAGTAAGTCTGCGCTTAATGTTGTTTCAGTACTACGTCGCTAAACTTTAAAGTCCAAAACTCCATTTAACGTCCCGGTGATTCGGTACAATGTCGTTTTGCGTTGTCACGGATTACATTTTATGGCGCATCGCTCCCTCGTTTGGCTGCACTATGCTCTCTCGGCTCGGTGCACTGCCCTCACTCACGGAACCTCACAGCGACGCTAAGCCAGTCTTTGTTATGACTTCACATCATTTGTGTGTGCTTAAGTGTTTTTGCTCTAAGACTATACTCTAACCATTCAAAATGGCTTCCAAGCACCCATCAAGTGCTAGTGTAGTGAAGAAGCAATGTAAGACCATTACCCTGGCTACAAAAATGGATTCATTAACCCAATTTGGAAAAGGGGAACGTGCTGTGGACATGGCCGCTGTGCTGGATCTAACCCTCACAACGGTGCGTAATATCCGAACCAACGCTGACAAGATTAAGGTTAGTGCTGGAAGTGGTACTTCTCTGAGTGCTACTAAGACAACTCGTACTGGAAGCACTGTGATAGAAATGGTGGAAATGATGCTGGCAATGTGGATGGAGGACCAGACACAACGCAATGCCACTGTTAGCCTTATGGTTATCCAGCATAAGGCCAGATCCTTGTTTGATGACTTAAAAGGCAGAAGGGGGCGAAGGATCAAAGGAAGAGACCTTTACCGCCAGCCGAGGATGGTTTCAACGATTTAAGCATCATTATAACTTCCACAACATTAAGATGACTGGTGAAGCTGCCAGTTCAGATACGGTTGCTGCCAAGACATTCCCGCCAGAATTCGAACGGATTATCCTGGAAGGAGGCTGCTCATTGAAGCAAGTCATCAATGTGGATGAGACTGATCTCTTTTGGAGGAGAATGCCTGAGAGGACCTATATCTCCAAGGAGGAGAAGAGAGCGCCAGGTTTTACAGTGGCAAAAGACCGCTCGACACTTCTGCTTGGCGCGAACGCTGCCGGCGACTGCAAAATGAAGTTGATGTTGATTTCTCGCGCTGCCAACCCACGGGCCCTGAAAGGTTACTCTAAAGATTACCTTCCAGTGATCTACAAGGCAAATAAGAAGGCAAGGATAACCAACGCCATATTTAGTCAGTGGTTATATGTGTACACCGTCACTGCAATAAAGGAATACTGTCCCAAGCAGAACCTCGACTTAAAAATTCTTCTGATCGTTGACAATGCTCCATCTCATCCTCCCAATCTCGACAACTTGCATGACAGTGTAAAATTTGTATTCCTGCCTCCCAACACGACAGCACTGATGCAGCCTATGGACCAAGACGTCATTGCCACATTCAAGGCATATTATTTACTCCATACCATGGCCCAGTTGCTCAAGGCTACAGATGGAGATAATAAACCTACGATCTAAGAATATTGACATGGCTTCAACATTCTTCAAGCAATTGACAACATTGGCAAGGTATGGGAAGAGGTTTCAGAAAGTTGCCTGAAAGGTGTGTGGGGTAAATTGTGGCCCGAGTGCGTCAACAGTTTTACGGGATTCATGGACTTAGTCCCAGCTGTGAATAGGGATATCCTCAGCTTGGCTAGACAGGCAGGCTTGATGAGCTGGAATCAGAGGATTTTAAGGATGTCCTGGCATCCCATACAGAAGAATTCACCAACGAAGATCTGCAACAACTAACAGAACACAGACCCGATGAAGACGATGGAGAAGAAGTAGCACAACGAACGCTAACTACCAAGAGGATATCAAGCATTCAACATGATCCAGCAAGGTATGCAAATCCTTATAGATGACGACCCCAACAGAGAACGTAGCTGAAAGATTCAATGCAGCATTGATGACAGACTTGGTTGTTACACCGAGATGTATAAGGAGAAGAGGAGTAGCATCAAGCGGTCAACACTGGATTCATTTGTTCATCGCAGGACGGCAGAAGCAGCTGTTTCACAACAGCTGAAAGCCGAGGAGGAGCAACCAGCGGCGGAGGAGGCAGCCGCAGAGCCTCAGTGACTCACCACCCTACTCCTCTTACACCCTCCTCCGCTCCCACCACACACTCGCTCTACCACCTCTGCCCATCAGTGAGTACCAATACAAACTTAATACAGTGGTTGTATATGTATGCATTATTTTCTATAGAAATGGCAATGATTTTCTGTATATGTAATGTATTTCATGGGGCAAAGGGAGGCTCAAGAAAGTAACTCCTGTATTTTATCTATTTCTAATGGGGAAAATTTATCTGCTTAATGTTTCGTATAACGTCGCGTTTTCAAGAAGTTAAGCGAGGACTTAACGTACACATTTACATCATCTTGGTTATTATTAATGTGTCCTTGTGACTCCCTGACATATTTTGAGAAATTTTACATCTACCCACGACAATGCTGATCAGTTTATATGCAGAAATAATGTAAACTTGTAATGATTTTATTAAATAAATATTTATCAGCTACCTAACTATCCCTATCTGTCTATCTCCAGTATCTATCTATTATATATCCACCTATCTATCTACATTTTACCATCCACGGACAAAAAAATCTGGTCAGTGGGTTGCCACAACTATACCTGCAAGGCTAGTTCAGTGGAGACCCTCAGTACTTGATACATGTGAGAATACAGTGGTCCCTCGGTTAACGAACGCCTCGGTTAACGAAATTTCGGTTAACGAATTTCTTACGAACCGACCTCAACATGTTTTCGCTTGCACTGGCCGGTCAACCAGCTTTAGTATTAGTCCGCCAATACATTAATCGGTTCTAGGGCTTAAATACCTTACTATTTTAGTAAATATCAAGAAGTTTATACTATTCAATAATTTTAAAAGTTTAATATTCAATTTTTTAGTCACTATAACAATTATTGAACATAATTGAAGGTAAAGTGACTAGTTTAATGCGCGCCAATCAGCCTGTTAACACAGCAAACAGGCATTAGTCTCTCTCTGTTTTCACTGGAGGTAACATCTTGCTTGAGACTCTCTTCAACTAAATGCTTTTTTCTGTGTTTCCAAGCAAATTATTGGTCATTTTGAAATATATTTTACATATTGACAATATATAATGCAGTGCAGTGTTGATTTAAAGAAAATAATCTTGAAATACACCAAGAGAACTAAAATTTTATGGGTGAAATGGCAGCATGGGGTGACTTCTCTTCCACCCCAATGCCTTCTCTTCTCCCTTCTCCTCCACCCCCATTCTAATTCCCATCATCATTATCATCAACCAGGAGCCTTCTACATGCACACCTCAAAGTAAGTGTACTTTACTGCATTTATTTTTACTTTGTATGTAATTTTCAGTGAGCTGGAACCAATTACCCAAAAACCCATTGAAACAATGGTTTCGGTTAACGAACAACCTGCTGGAACGGATTGTGTTCGTTAACCGAGGGACCACTGTATTGCCTTGTCTGTATGGGGTGTTTATTATCTCATGTTCACAAAACTATGACTTAATAAATGTGGTTTAAGAATATAATGTCATCACCAATAATACATTAATTAGACTAGTAAAATGATGTCAGTTGTCTGTTTCCCTCAAAATTCCTGAATACAAGTAAAGCCCCAGAAGAAAGGTCACTGTGTGTGTGGAACTGACAGTCAAACAGAGTAATCATTAAAATTTAGTGATGTTTTGGTGTACTGACATGATTAAATTTGTCAACAGGTTGTCAAGTGGTGGATGAGGTCTACCCTGAAGGAGATTCATGGGTACAGGAGTGCTACAACTACACCTGTAATTATGGCACACCAGAGATTGTTGAGGTTATAGACACATGTGAGTGACTCTCTCTTCAGAGCACTTGTTTTAATTTATCATTTCACCATTTACCAGCTTCCCAGCTATTCGGGCAGCTGTTCTGCTCTTCTGTTACTTTGTTTAGACCTTCATTGTCAAGTGTTAGTACATTAAGGACACCAACGTATCTGGAGAAAACCTTAAAAAATTGGGTTGGGTCACATTGGATAACAAACACCCTTCTCATGCCTGACCCCTGCCAGGGATTGATCCTAGGCGTAACAGTGAGAGGCCCGCTGTAATGCCAACAGTGAAAGTAAGTAAATGAATTTATTAATCAGCTGGTAACTGTTAACTCTATCTTAACAGAATAACCAAGGAAGATCCTATATGAGGTATAACAGTAGTTGTACCTTGATGCAGACTTACTCTCTCATAGTCATCCTTCCAACTCATAAAAAAATGATTTCAGTGAGGAAAATACAAAATATGTTAGTTAAGTGTATAAAGCTAAACACATACATGTACAGTTGCCTCCACACGAGCTTACCACAGCCTGGGACTGTGTGAGGGCTCGGGTAGAGAGTTGTGGCAATGCAGCGCCATTGTCAGGGCTAACTGTATGGGTGTGAAACAGTGAAATTACCTTGTTTGCAATAAGATACAAACAATAAAGGATATAAATAGATAAACAAACCCTCTAATATGTGTTATGTAGCATTGCTGTGTAGCCACAGTTGAGTGACTAGGACTGAACTATAGGGAACCGACAAACAGTGTAATCCATGATTTTCATGACCATTACTAGAAGCACTTGCATTGCCAGATCTTGTAAATGTGCTCCCACACACACACACACCTATGCTGTGGTACATTCACGTGGAGACAACTGTACATGCTGAATCAACGTAAACTTGTAACGATGATTTTACCGAATATCTGTCGATCTATCATGATTTTCAGATGCTAAAAAATATTCTTGTTAAATGTAGTCTTGCAGATGTTACAATACTCAAGACTGGACTATATTTTAACAACAATTTAATGGAGTATTATTTTGACAGGTTGTGAGGTGGGTGGGGAGGTCTACGATGACTCACAGACTTGGACTCAAGGCTGCCACAACTACACTTGTAACTCTGGGTCACCGGAGACCCTCTCTGTACTGAAGACCTGTGAGTATTGTGTTGTGTTCATATACTGTATACACACCTGCTTCAATACATGCACTCAACAGCCTTGATGAACATGTACAATGTAACACCAGATGGGCAATGATCACTGGCTCCTACAGGCTTAATGACCAAATATGCAAACTAATGTATGACACACCACAAATCGTATTCTGAATATTGAACCTCCAACTGGACTGCCTATTAAGGGACAAGTGGTGGATGAGGGGTAAAGTTGTAAGACACACTTGCAATTTTGGTAAAGGGACAAATGATTACAACACCTGCAATATTTTGTACTTAAGTTATATAATAATGTACTGTACTGTATATGTAATCAAGTTACTGTACTTATGACTATAGGCCTGCACACTGTGTATATAATTACTGTATCATATCACAGCTGCAGTCATATTACTTCCACCTACCAAGACAAGGAAATATATTGGTACAGTATAACCAAGAAAATATGTAACATTACTACAACTGTACACAAGAAGTCCAGTGTATTGTAGGTGCATCCATCACAAAAAGAAAATTGACCTTGATATTAAAAGATCTGTCGAGTCTTTGTTGTTATATGCTTAAACACTGCTATGACATTTATTTTTATTCAAATCATTGGATCACATGAAGATTCACCCTCCACCCATGGCTCATTTCACCTTAAGATTAGCCACCCTAATGCTACATGGAGTAAGGTTAGGTTAGGTTAATCTTCAGGTAAATTAGGCTTGAGGGTTGGGTTAGGGTAGCTTTAAGTTAGATTAAGTTAACTAGGGGTCATATTTTAGGAGCTAGGTTAGCATTAAGTTGGTTAATCTTCTGGTGAAATAAGCTGGGGATAAAATCTGAGGTGAAATAAACTGGGGATAAAATCTGAGGTGAAATAAGCTGCCTTATACATTTTCATTGAGAATGTATTAGCTACAACATTGTCCTCCTCACATATCAGTGAGTATAATATTGCTATTGTATAATGTACCCCCTTCTTCTGTACAAAAATTTATGCAATCTCCATGAAAATCTGTTAGGCAGTGTGCATATATTTTTCTGAGACACAGTTTATGTCAGGTATTTTGACATACAGTATACAGTAAGTCTGCGCTTAACGTTGTTTCAGTACTACGTCGCTAAACTTTAAAGTCCAAAACTCCATTTAACGTCCCGGTGATTCGGTACAATGTCGTTTTGCGTTGTCACCGATTACATTTTATGGTGCATCACTCCCTCGTTTGGCTGCACTATGCTCTCTCGGCTCGGTGCACTGCCCTCACTCACGGAACCTCACAGCGACGCTAAGCCAGTCTTTGTTATGACTTCACATCATTTGTGTGTGCTTAAGTGTTTTTGCTCTAAGACTATACTCTAACCATTCAAAATGGCTTCCAAGCACCCATCAAGTGCTAGTGTAGTGAAGAAGCAATGTAAGACCATTACCCTGGCTACAAAAATGGATTCATTAACCCAATTTGGAAAAGGGGAACGTGCTGTGGACACAGTCGCTGTGCTGGGTCTAACCCTCACAACGGTGAGTAATATTCGGACCAATGCTGACAAGATTAAGGTTAGTGCTGGAAGCGGTACTTCTCTGAGTGCAACCAAGACAACTCGTACTGGAAGCACTGTGATAGAAATGGTGGAAAAGATGCTGGCAATGTGGATGGAGGACCAGACACAACACAATGCCCCTTTTAGCCTTATGATTATCGAGCATAAGGCCAGATCCTTGTTTGACGACTTAAAAGGCAGAACGGGGCGAAGGATCTTAGGAAGAGACCTTTACGGCCAGCCGAGGATGGTTTCAACGATTTAAGCATCATTATAACTTTCAGAACATTAAGATGACTGGTGAAGCTGCCAGTTCAGATACGGTTGCTGCCAAGACATTCCCGCCAGAATTCGATTATCCTGGAAGGAGGCTACTCATCGAAGCAAGTCATCAATGTGGATGAGACGAAGAGAATGCCATCAATGTGGAAGAGAATGCCTGAGAGGACCTATATCTCCAAGGAGGAGAAAAGAGCGCCAGGTTTTAAAGCGGCAAAAGACCGCTCGACACTTCTGCTTGGCGCGAACGCTGCCGGCAACTACAAACTGAAGGCGATGTTGATTTCTCGCCCTGCCAACCCACGGGCCCTGAAAGGTTACTCTAAAGATCACCTTCCAGTGATCTACAAGGCAAATAAGAAGGCAAGGATAACCAACGCCATAATTAGCCAGTGGTTATATGTGTACGCCGTCGCTGCAATGAAGGAATACTGTGCCAAGCAGAACCTTGACTTCAAAATTCTTCTGATCGTTGACAATGCTCCATCTCATCATCCCAATCTCGACAACTTTCATGACAGTGTAAAAGTCGTATTCCTGCCTCCAAACACGACAGCACTGATGCAGCCTATGGACCAAGACGTCATTGCCACATTCAAGGCATATTATTTACTCCATACCATGGCCCAATTGCTCAAGGCTACAGATGGAGATAATAAACCTACGATCTAAGAATATTGACATGGCTTCAACATTGGCAAGGTATGGGAAGAGGTTTCAGAAAGTTGCCTGAATGGTGTGTGGGGTAAATTGTGGCCCGAGTGCGTCAACAGTTTTACGGGATTCACGGACTTAGTCCCACCTGTGAATAGGGATATCCTCAGCTTGGCTAGACAGGCAGGCTTTGATGAGCTGGAATCGTAGGATTTTGAGGACGTCCTGGCATCCATACAGAAGAATTCACCAATGAAGATCTGCAACAACTAACAGAACACAGACCTGCTGAAGACGAAGATGACGGAGAAGAAATAGCACAACGAACGCTAACTACCAAGAGGATAACAGAAGCGTTCAACATGATCCAGCAAAGGTATGCAAATCCTTATAGATGACGACCCAAACAGAGAATGTAGCTGAAAGATTCAATGCAGCATTGATGACAGACTTGGTTGTTACACCGAGATGTATAAGGAGAAGAGGAGTAGCATCAAGCGGTCAACACTGGATTCATTTGTTCATCGCAGGACGACAGAAGCAGCTGTTTCACAACAGCTGGAAGCCGAGGAGGAGCAAACAACAACGGAAGAGGAGCAACCACAGTCAGTGCAGGAGGAGGCAGCCGCAGAGGCTCAGTGACTCACCACCCTACTCCTCTTACACCCTCCTCCGCTCCCACCACACACTCACTCTACCACCTCCGCCCATCGGTGAGTACCAATTTTAATGCTTGAATAGCTAGTTAGGCAGTAAGTGGTGATGTGATAAAAAAAAATACATATATATGTATACCGTATATAAATTTGTTATACCATATTGTAACCTGCCTCAATCTACCTGCTGCTGAAGCCTTGAATAGATTCAGTGGAGGAAGTCCACATTTATAACCTGTGATGTGCAACCATTAATATGTAAACAGGATATATAAAGGAGAAAACTAAAGAATGGCATGAATTTCAGGAAGATATGTTTAATTAATAGTTTCCACTATTTGTCAGTTTACTAGCCATCCGAGTGGTTGGTCTATTACTTTGTTATGACCTTCATTATCCAGTGTTAGTACAGGAGGAAACTGGAGTAGTATCTGGAGAAAACCTGCCATGATAGGTAGTGTTAGTTTATCATGCTAGTATTATGAGAAAAGAGGATAAAAGGGTAGTAATAATTTTTTTGATGTGGAGTGTTTAGTGTTTGAGCAGGAGTGAAACACTTTGTTCAGATCTCATCAATTTTAAGAACCCTGCTCATTTCACCTGGTGATTGAATACCCCAATGCTAACCTAATGTAAACTTGAACTAATGCTAACTTATCTTAACCCAACTCCCGTATAGCATTACGGTATGTAATCATTAGATGAAATAAGGCGAGTGCCTTAATCTCCAAGTGTTTGTTTGTTCAACATATAAAGAGAAGAATCCTGTAGAAACTAAATTTGGGTGAAAAATCAACAGTTATGGAATTTAAATGTCTGATAAGAAATGATTGTAACTGTTTCATGTGAATTCTTAAATGATCAGGAGGAAAAGTTTAGAATGTGTTTGATAGATGAGGTAATAAATGTTTGTACTAGAGAATATACGGTATAGTTAAAGCTCCAGGAGTTTATGATAATGGTGAAGATGTATAACAACAGCTAAGTATGCTAAAGCTTATTTTATAATAACCACACTTGGTCTACTAGTATGAGAGTAGTTTTTGAACACGGAATCTATACACTAACAATAATCACTATGTTCCCTGTCTCTTGAATCACCCGGTGGCCGAGGGTTTTGAAGGTGCCTCAAGGGGATAGTCTATCCACCTCCAATATTCCTAGTGCTTGAAGTCAACTTTTACACCCCCAAGCCATACATAGGAATGGAATATGATTGACAGATAGATGGGCAGATTGGACCATTTTTCTCTCTTACTTTTTAATATTAAACAAACTGCTTCTGCCAGGCTGTAAGGTGCATGACAAGCTATATGCTGATGGTCAAAAATGGATTGAAGATTGCAAGAACTATTCCTGCTATTCCAGCTCAATAGATGTTTCTCCTGCGAGTGATGAATGTGAGCATTTAGGTGAGTATATCACATATTATGTTAAACGGGATCTTCTGAAACTAAAACAGACAGACTTAGTTCATCAAGTGTCATTTCATGGTTGAGGATGGACATGACTCAGGTCCAACTTTATGCAAAAGAAAAGAAATTAGGATATTTTAATGAAATTCCCTCCCCACTCTTGGAGACACACGAGTAATACTCCTCACAGGGAATATCACACTACAGTAGTTAATGATTGAGCATATTATATAACTACAGGACTGATAAACCTAGAATAGCAAGGTATGAGAGATGGGCGAATTTCATATGGGATGTTGATGAAATAATTGCCATGTTTATTTGCCTCGGATATAAAAACTCATATTTAGACGAGCAAAACATTTAAAAATTTTGTATTTTGAGCAAATCAGTATGTGTGGGTGTCTTCCAATGTACAGTTGTAGACAGTTCCCAGATTATGATTGACAAAGGGACAACCTATGACAATTTAAATAAAAAAAAGGAAGTTTTAAACAGCATCAATGTTTTTTTAGGTTCCTCTGCACTTACCATAACACTGTGGGCGATTCTGGCTCTGATAGTGATTGTCGTTTTGGTGCTGATTGCTGTGTACGTCTACACCGCCAAAAAGAAAAAAGAATTTAGCTCCTCCAAATTTGTTCTACATCATAATGTACCTAATGAACAACTTCTGATAACCTGAGCTGAGTACATCACTATGCATTGTATACAGCTTCATTATATATATATATATATATATATATATATATATATATATATATATATATATATATATATATATATATATATATATATATATATATATATATATATATATATATATATATACTGTATATATATATTTTTTCTTTTAATAAAATAATTTCTTTTCTTTTCTTTTTAATTTTCCTGCTCTTCAGCAACATACCAGTATGTGGATGATTTTCCTCTACCAGTACATCACTACCACAACCACTCATGAACACAACTTGACAATCTTCATCCAAATAGCATAATTGATGACACCACAACCACCAGACACTACCACCTTACAATCCTACTCTGAAAAATGAAACTACACCTTAATATATTCCACTGCAGTCACCATGACAGCGATTTTCAACCAATGTGCCGCGATCCGTAGGTGTGCCATGGGAGTTAAAATAGCATTTGGATAGCATTTAAAAAAATAGAATTTGGATACTTTTGTCGCAACTGAGTAAAAACATTGAAAAGTATTTCCCATCACTTGATGTATCTTCCTTGGACTGGGTGAGAGATCTGTTTGTGGTAAGTGCGTGCGAGTCGGCAGGATTAACTGTTGCCGAAGAGGATGAGCCGACGGAAATAAAAAACGACAGAGGACTGAAACTGAAGCACCTATCAACAGGTATGACTTCATTCTGGTTGTCCCTTCGAGAGGAATACCCCATCATTACAAAGAAGGCCATTGAAGCACTTCTTCCTTTCTCAACATTGTATCTGTGTGAAGCTGGCGTCTCTATGAACACAATGAAGAGCAAGAACAGGTCGCGGTTTCAAACACTGGAAGAGGACTTGAGGGTATGCCTGTCAACCATTCGACCTCGGACAAGGAACATCACGAGACAACACTAAGCACAGGTTTCCCACTGATATTTTTATGTAAGCAAAGGCCTTATATTTTTACTCTTGTTTGTATTTGAATACAATCTATATCTGAAGGTTTCATATTATTTTTTAATGAATGGCATCTTTTTCAATGTGTAGTAATAACAAATATGCACAAAACTTTCAAATTATTTTGAAAACCATGTTCAACAATATACTTTTGGCAATAAAATTAATAAATTATTATTATTTTTTAAATTATGAACACATTCTTATCATTCATTTTCTTTTAAATGATCAAATCTATCCTTAAATACTGATGGTGTGCCTCGACCATTTTAGTGCCTGTCTCACTGTGCCGTGAGATGAAAAAGGTTGAAAATCACTGCACTATGGTATCCTTCCCCGAGTCAACATAAAACAAAATCCAACTCACCCATTGAATTTTTACCCTAGACGCAACAACATTTACCCAACCGAGACAATACCTTAAGGTTACTTCCACAAACAATTATCTGGGAACAAGTGGCAGACATCACTCAAAACCTGAGATTCATCTGCTTAACATGCACATGAAGCAAATGGCTAAAACAAGTCATTATAATACTGTAGTTGCCAAATGTTCAAACAATGAAAGTCTTCCTTCATTTGGTCTCACTCAAAATGAATGGACTGGTCATCTTTTTTTTTTTACTTGCCAGCATGAAGTGGTAAGACAGTCTAAGAAAGGTTTACCTTAGGTACCAGTCACTTAAGTCCACATAATATATAACTGAGTCAGCTGTGTTGTCTAATACTCTATAGTTTTCATTCCTAATGTAACTACTGTAGTTACATCTTTCAACTCAATTAGTTAAGGCTGAAGTACATTATGGCTGATGCAGAGTGAGTAAGTATACTGTACTGATGTACTAGTATACCCCTTTGATTTACACTTACATTCAGCAAGAGGAATTACTCTTACTATAATGTACAAAACTTACATCTAAATCAACTTAACTTACAAATGTGCAATAAAAGATCAATTCTTAAGTTTGCTATTTTTTATAAAAATTTTCTCAAAAGTTTTAAAAAAATAAATTATTTTATGCACCGGTTACAAAATATATTGTATTCCATATAATACAAATAAAGTAACAACACCTTACATCTACATGAGGAATTAATTTTTTTCCATAAAATAGTTGATGGAATTTGCTATCCAGCAAAATATGTGATAAAAACAATTTCAAATTCTTGCCAAAGCAAACTGTAACTTGAAGACACCCTATTTCCTGAAAAATTTCCAAAAATTTTCACCGAGCTAAAATGGGCTACATTAAAATATGAATTAAATCAGCTGATGGGATTGTCATGCAGATGGAACAGCACCATTATCATCATCCATATCAGCAACCAATCTGAAAAGAAATATTTATTAAATCAGGATACACTACAGGAAAGTTTTTGTGAGCAGTTAAATGTTGTCCATCTTTAAGATCATCACCACAAGTTTATTCAAAATTACAATCCAGTGCTGTTGCTGTCCATACTGGGGTGGCAGAGGACAATAATGTACACACACTGACTTACAGATTTCCGTGACCACATGAATATTTGTAACATTGTCATCACACATCAACAATGAGGACAATGTTGCTGTTGTAATACAAACACCTGTAAGGCAGTGTGCATATATCGTTCAGAGAGACAGAGACCCTGTGTTTTTGGAGCAAGACTAATGTACACTTACTAACAGAGTCAACAATAACTTGTTAATTATAACAGCTCAGCAACAACACTAATCCCTGGCAACTTTATCACACTTAATACTACTACCCCAACCTAGGTACTGTAGTATACAATTTTCCCAAGCTTGGTTAAAACCTTTCAGTTCTTAGTCTGCCTATTTATAAAGCGAGGCAAAATTTCCAATTTTCAGTGGCTGCCGAGACTTTCTGAGGAAATTAACAACTTCGAAGTAAGTTCTTCACTCCCAGAACACTGATGAAAGAACTATGGCCAAGAACCTCCTAAACTTGACACACGTATCATCATTAAGGAATGATTACAATACACACCAGAAACTGTAGATGATACACAATACAGTACAGGGGGTCCCCAACTTATGAATGCCTGCCGATACGAACACGGTTAAACTTGAAATTTACAGTACAGTATTCTATTTACCCGATGACTTATTTTTTTACTTTCATTTTCTGTAATTTGTCATTCTATTTCATCTGCTGTCTTAAATGAAGTGATTTTAGATGTATATAATGACTTAGGTTAAGATATAGTGTGAGTTTAAACATTGTTCCTTAAGTACGGTTTGCACATAATGTGTTCCGACTTACCGGATATGTACAAATCCGACTTAAGAACATCCTCAGGAATGGAACCCCTTGTACAGTACTTTACAGGAATAAAACATTATACAAAAAAAAAAAAGTCATCTAATCCTTACCTTTTCAAAGCTCCAGGGTGCAGTTCAATGGCCAGAGATTATCTCCGACTACACCCTGTGAAATTTTGAGGCCCCCCTCTATCACAACATCCACCGAGATCCCACCATTACCCGCACATATCACCCTTGTAGCCGTGCCCCTGACGGTTACATCACAATCCTGGTACCACAGGTCAGGTCACCAGGCCCATCCTAGTACCGCGACGATACCCAGAACTTCGTCCTCTGTAATACGTCATCTGTGAGAGAAAGGAAAAAAATTATTACGAATATTCTAGAAACAATTAAATTAAATATACTGTATATATAGCAAATTATACTTTGTTTAATTATTCACTGTATATACTGCAAGCTAGAGTAGTGACAGACAGGCAGACAGACAGATCTGCCGCAATAAGTTTAAATATCTTTGTTAATACTTTCATTAGTTCCTCAAGCAATACAATAATATTAAGACTTTTAGTAATGTTGAAGTGAAGAACACAACAAATACAGTATTTATAGAATTAAACCTGAAAAATTCAACGAGACTTCCACCTCCGGTACATCGTTATCACCATAACATAAAAGCGATCTAATCAAACCGACAGTAGTTTCGGTAACGAATTTTGTTAATATTTAATCAAGTAATACAAGTCTACATCTGTCAATATCTTACTAGCCATGTAGTGTAATGACAGGTAATTAATTTAGTAATTATTTGTATATAAATGTAAAAAAAAAGGAAAAAGTTTTTATGAGTGATTCACATTTCATATCATGTTCTCTATGTCTCGGGAATCTCCTAAGTGCATAATGCCAAACAAAAAATTCCCAACTAGGACTACAGACCTTTAATAAGGTAATAGTG